TTYYYMAMCCAATCAKCGCGCRAGAWTTKCAATAMTCACCTGTGTATTTTTACTTAAATAATATATCTATCAATCTCAGGGTTCATACAGTCATGGAAAATTTGTGAAATTTGAAATTTTTTGCATTCCAGGCTTGGAATCATTGAAATTTGGACAAAAAATTATTTAGGTAATGAAAAAGTTGTGGAATTCCAATTTTCGAAAAAAATATAACATTTTAGATGTTGGTTAACGTTTGAAAAAATACTTTTATTATTATTGCAATTCTAATTGAGCATTGGAATATTGTTTTTTATGTTTTGTATAAACCCTGAATCCTCATTGTCCCCATTATTCCTTCCTTCCTGCATTCCTCCAACTTTTCATATCAATCACCCTCAAAAATGAATTTGGGATTTGAATTTGAGTAAAACTGAGGATTTATTTTGCATGTTTCCAAAGTKTTTTTGTAATTTCCAAGCCTTGAATCAATAAGATCTATAAAGTTTAAAATTTATTTTGAATTTACACTTAGGTACTAGTTTATGACATAGAGGGCCATTGATAATAGTTATAGCACTTAATAATTCAGTCAAGAATTAAGATTTTAACACTCTGTTATTAGCCAATCAGCATCCAGCGTTATTGTGCCCTCTTTAACGATATATTAAGGCATGAACGTGATGGGAAACTTTATTTTGCAAGGTAGGTATTTTAGCATTGCTGTTATGCCCTAGTGTATTAGGAGTGACTTCTTATTTTATAAAAAAAACAATAATTTAATAYAACTTATCTAAAGATAAATTGATTAATATATGTAAAACCATAATCCTGCAACACGAGATGAGCGAGGGATGTCAATCATTTAAGATCTCTTTTCAATAGTAGTTATTGATTTTATTAGAAATTCTACTCTAGTTATTGTAGTTACAGTAATTCTTGTTGCTTGTATGACTTTCAGTCTGCAACATCTGCTTTTAAGCATTAGCCAACCAGATTTTTTTCCCTCATAAACAGGCACCAAAAAATCAAAGGCTCTGGTAACACACAAACCGGAAGACCCTTATTCTAGGTCGTTAGATATGCGCATGCTCCACTTATTCTGACTTCCGGTATAAATTCAAAAGAAAAACAGTCAAGCTTATTTATACATT